GTCAACAACAAAAGGACGAAAGAGACGCGTATTCTCAACAAAACCACATCTTTACTTCATTTCGGTGAAAGAGTCCGTGTCGAAGGCCTCGTAGTCCTTCACCTCCACGGGGTAGCTGAAGCTCGCCAGACGCATGCCCTCGATGTCCCCCTCGGCGTCCGTGCCTTCCAAGTTTTTCAGGTCCTCGGGGAATTTTGCCCCTACCGCAGCTGCAACAAAACAACAACAAAAAAACAGCAGGGAACCAGGCATCAAACAAGGGTCACGGGGGAAGCTCGCTACGCTCTGCTCTGTGCCTCGTAGATTAGCGCGGTATTGCCGTTGGTCGGTCGGAATCGCTCTACACGACGACAACGACTGGGGGGGTGTTAGGGGTCATACTTGATTTTGTCATTTCGAACGTGATAGCGCATCTATTTCCGAGACGGACCCCCCCCCCCGTCCTAGCACTGCAGCAGTGGGGTCCATGAATAGTGAATTGCCCGGTACAGTAGTAGTGCTGGTGAAATCGCTTGACGCGGATGCAGCGTGAAAACTTTCAAGTGGTCTCATTCTCTCAATAGTGACGGGTGCCCGGTGCGTACGGCGCGGGTGAATCTGGCGGGCACGTGCCGGCACTAATGAGGAACCCACGTTGCTGTATTAGGCAAAAACTCCATCGTGTGTACAAACAAGAATCGTTTTTTTCTCCCATCCACAGCTGTAAAAGACTTCAACACCCCCCCCCCTCGTCTCTATGTGATTGCATATGTATTTTCTGACAAATAATGGGGTGGCACCAATATCACCCACCACCACCGCCGCCGCCGCAACAGCAACACCAAACCATCAGCAGCACGTGCGCAACTCACCGAACAGCCCAGGGATGCCGCCGAGCCCCTCGGTGTTGGGCGCAGAGTTGACCCTCTCCAGGAGAGCTTCCATGTCCAACTTCATCACGTCGATGTCGGACTTGCACTTGGAGTACGCGATCGAAGACTCTTGCCCCTCCTGCGATGTGTGGAAACACACGGTATAACCGCCGTTTTCGCGACGTGACATGGTTCAACGAAGAAGAGAAGTGGTAGAAGCACCAAGGCTATCACCAGTTGAAAGTACAGCATGGGGGGGTCGGGAAGAGGTAGGTCGTGACGACATGACGGCGACACGTGAGACCAAACGACAACAACCCAACGGCAGCAACAGCAGCAGCAGCAGCAGCAGCAGCAGAAGCAGATGTAGACGCAACTACAACAATCGCAACTCACAAGCGATTTCATCTTGGCCTGTTGGTTGACCACCCTCTTCTTGATCTCCTCGATCTCCGCCACCGCGTCCTGCGCATTACAAAAAAGGTGTACCGGAGTTCAAAGTATTCCAAAAGGCGTCCGCAGAAGGAGGAGCAGCAGCAACAAGACCACAGAAATGGACTACCACAGCTTTGTGTTGGCCTATAAAATTCAACACCAACGTCGGTCATGGAAGTCGGTACGACAAAAAAAACTTGCAACAAAGTGAAGTCCTTCTGGAACGGGCATGGAACGTGGGCAAACAACACAATTAGCCAGGATGTCCCAGCCAACACCAACAGACAGAAAATACGAGCCATCATCACACAACTCACAAAAAATGTTCTTCCACACAATACAAGTAAGGATCTTCGGTTTGACACATGGGGGGTTCTATCCACACATCCGTCGCACCAATCCCCAGCCCCCCTCCCTTGACGGGCAGCGGATAAAACCTCAACGTCCCGAGTGCCTGCAGTTGGCTACGCACGTCGGCGTGGCAAAACGCACCGGGTCTTCGATGGCGTAAACGACCTCCACCATGAGGCCGTACGCGTAGGAAAGGACGACCCCCATGTCGTCGAAGGACACCGCACACAGATCCACGTCCGAGATCACCTTCGTCTGGCTCGGGGGGTAAGTCTGCATCATGAAAAAAAAAAGGGAAGCAGGAGAGACACAGA